TATATATATATATATGGCTTTGCAAAATTATACAGCCAATCAAATCTCCAAATATATTTCAACCAGAAACTCTTTCAAAGATTCCTTTTAACGTTATGATTCCTTTGGGGGCATTAATTCCATGTCCTAATAATAATAATAATAATAATAATAATAATAATAATTTGTATGGTTTAAGTTAGGGCTCATATTCGAACCAGACATATGATTAGGTCATTGGATCGCTGATTTGACCGCATGACCCGTTTGAAAAATTCTGTTGACTTTTTACACATATAAATATTTGTTTGTATTTATCGCACATTATACATATCATAACCAAACTCAATTATGACAATTTAGTTGATGACATTAGTTATACATATATGAAATAATAATTCTACTAGGTCTAATTATTTTTAGGAGAGTAGATACAACACAATAAAGAAGCAAAGTAGAAAATAATGTAAAACAGTAGTTTAATTGAAAGTTTTCATAGAATTTAAGTATGGATTCCATTTATATGGAATTTGTCAATGAATTTGAAAGGAAAATGTATCTTTTTTTATTATTTATTGAATTTGCTTGGCTAGTATTCGTCAATAAATAAATTCAAAAACAAATTCGAGTCACATTAATTTGAAATTTGGTTACTGTTTTTTATCGATTTTGACCCGGCCCAGATAGAAGATTTTTTTTGTGAACTATTCAAATTCAAAATCTCATCCAACTATAACCTTATTAAAAAATTAGCTCACTTTAACTAATAAATTCAATAAAAAACGATTTTATTTTTATCTAATCGCCCTCTAACAGATTCAAGTTAACGAACTTCCTAACGGGTTTATGAAAATTTCATAACCCTGTTTAAATTATAAATACATTTTTTTATTTAAAAAAGAAAACTTATAATTAACTCCTATTTTGTCTAGACAAGAAGTAGCCCTACCATTTTACATTATACTTGGTTAATATTGATTGAAATTGGAGACATAATAGGTAAAGTCGACTCGATTTTGACAGGTATTTATGGAAGGTGCCCAGATATTCGTGTTCATAGCTTTTGCAAGAGAAATTAAATCTGCCTCAATCAATAAAAGTCGTGGTTTATATATATTCGACTTTTTTCTTCAATACAAGATTATTATATATCGTATTTATTTTCAGAATATAATTTTCGTAATATTTTTCCTTCAAAAATGAAGTTTCCTTCATTTTTAATTTATTTTCCTCACTCTCATTTTTTCATTTCGATCAGTTTAAAACGTGAAATTTGACTATAAAATTAATGAAAGACATACTTACGCAACGGGAAATGCTAAAGTCCCGTTACAGTATCAGCCTTTGGGTGTTTTAACTGTTGGATCATCTATCTTATACTAACAATATGTGGATCCAACGGTTAAAACAACATACGAGATGATAGCGTAATGAGACCGTAACATTTCTCATTACACATATCATATGATTCACATTCTATGATTAAGATAAAATGACAAGAGCAAAATCTTTTTTTTTTTTTTTTAA